AGGAAGTCAAGGAAGATCCTTGGAGGTATGAAGTAAGGTAGGCATGGGACAGGAAGAATACCTCATCTTTGCCGAGGAGAACTTTGGTGGTCCACAAAGATCTGCTGATCCCTTCAGCTACCGCATCAGGCTCCACTGAGACCAGAGTCCCCATCTTTCCATACTGGGTCACCACCACCAGGATCGTGGCTCCAAAGGCAGTGCACACCACCTCCGTTGGGATGCCTCCCACCACCTCCCTGGTCTGCTTTGAGACTGGGACGGGCTGGGCTGCCATAGCGGGAATCGGTCCTTGCCCTAAAGGAAACGGTCAGTAAGGAGGTTGCAACATCTCAAGATGCTTTCAAACCAAGGTGAAGCTCCTGCTTCTCGGGCAGACGCTCCTTGATTTTGACCCTGGTCCTTCACAGTTAACTTTGCACAGTAAGCCAGCAATGAGAAAGCCTTGCTTGGCAAAGAAGTCTCACCCATCTCAAAGTGGCATGGTGTGTCCTCCGTCTACCTGTATTTCCTTCCTTCCTCCATATTTCCACCTATCACCTACCTCTATTTCCTCCTCCTCCTCCCCTCCCCGTCCCCTCCTACTAGATACAACTCTGGGCGTTCTACAACAAAGGGGGAAAAAACACACAACGGATTGGTAAAACCACTTTCACTATGGCTTCTACTAAGAACCTTCTGTCGCCCCCGGCCAGGGTCCCACGGATCGGCCTTCACTTTCTCTCCCACAAGGCTTTTCCCACGGACTCGCGTTCACCCTGGCTCGGCCCGTCGCCCCGGCCCCAAACCACGATGCGCGCCTCGTGCCCACCCGGGACCCGCGCGCGGAGAGCCGTGCCAAGCCCGGGAGTAAAACGGGCGCCTTAGCTTGCAGGGGAGGGGAGGGGAAGCGGCGGAGGCGTGCCAGAAGGCCGGAAAGCAACCCCCCCCCATGCCGCTCCGGCGTGAGGGCCCCCTTCCCCGGGAGGAGGCAAGGGCAGAGCACGCCCGGCCTCCTTGCAGCTGCGGCTCTCCAAGGCGCGCGGCTCGGCTCGGCTCGGTTCTCCGTGGCCGGCCCGGACCCAGAGCTCGGCCTCCCCACGAGCTTGCTAGCTAGCTAGCTAGCTTGCTTGCTTGCTTGCTTACTCTCCAAGCGATCGTTCCCTCCGCCTCTTCCTCCGCCGCCGCCGCCGGCCTGGGCTGCTTCTGCGCGCGTCCCTGCTCCCGGGCGGAGCGTCAAGCTGGGCGGACCGCTTCCCCGAAGCCGGGAGTCTCTAGGCGTGTGCAGAGCGCCTCTCTTGCTTGGTTCCGCGGCGCCCTAGGGAAAGGGACCTTGGGGTCGGAGTAAAGCGGGACAAATCGGCCGCGTCGCTGCCCCGAGGAGTTGGCACTGCAAAGCTGGGTGCCAAAGAAAGAACAAGGGCAGCGGCTGAGGAAGGGCAGAGGGGCGACTGCAGTAAGGAGCAGGAAGACCTTAGCCATGGTTGACTTTGATTAAGTCCGAACCACACGCATCGCATGCTCAAATCCAAAGCAGAATGGCTGCTGGGTTGATCTAGTACGCCCCTGTTTCTCAGCCTTGGCAACTTGAATGCAATAAACCTTAAACCTTGAAGACCTGTGGATTTCAATTCCCAGAATTCCCCAGCCAGGGGAGTTGAAGTCCACCCATGGCTGGCTGGGGAATTCTGGGAGTTGAAGTCCACACACCTTCAAGTTGCTAAGGTTGGGAAACATTCCCAGGGGTAGTCAACCTTGGCTCTTTTATGACTCGTGGACTTCAACTCCCAGAATTCCTGAGCCAGCTTAGCTGGCTCAGGAATTCTGGGAGTTGAAGTCCACGAGTCATAAAAGAGCCAAGGTTGACTACCCCTGCTTTAGGCTAAGGAAACAAGCAAACCATACCCAGGTCTATGTGTTATGTGCATGCAGCTTGTGGGTTTAACTCTTCCCCCCCTCCTCTGCTTCCAGCCACATGTAACCAATCTGGGGGCCACTGAACGGAGAAGTGGGTCTTCCCCAAAACAGAACCATTCCGTTGAGTCCTGGTTCTAAAAAAAACCAAATCATGAGTTAAAAGGGGGGCTTTTCATATCTGGGCCCAGTGATTAATTGGCAACATCTTTTTATAGTTGATCAAAATGTCCCTAATTAATACCGCCGATTCGCCCAATATAGCAACTGTTAATTTAAACCTCATTGATTTAAGGAACACTGATTCATACTTGGGAGGCAGGTCTCTGAGATTAACGGCCCTTATTTTCTTGCCTGAAAACCGCAGACCTTTAATTTCAATATGATTTATTTGCAGTGCTGATGGACTCTGTGTGTGTGTGTGTGTGTGTGTGTGTGTGTGTGAGGGGAGCCACCGTGCTCTCGGGGGCTGAAAGACACAAATTAATGCAAAATCTAGATTAAGTGCTTTCGAACAGAAATAAGTCAAGCGAGAAGAGAACCAGAAAACACCCACGCAGGGAGTCCTTCAGGGGAAAGCAACCCTCCACTCAGGAATTATTATATAGAAAACTTCTTCGGAGAGGAGGAGAAACTGGCCCTCCACGCCAAGAAAATGCTTGCAAACTATTCCTCAGTTGCACTGATTTTTTTTTTTAAAAAAAATCTTAGCCAGCTTGTACAGACGAAAATGGAAAAGGCACGTTCAGGCTGCATTCCTCATCTGCTGCCTTCTAGGGCTATTTGGACTGTGTCTCCCAGAGTTCCATGCGAGGCTGGCTAGGAATCCTGGGAGTTGAAGTCCCTGCACATCTGGTGGGTGTGCCATTGAATTAGCTGGAAGGGGAGAGTGTTGGCACAATAATTCCTCCAGAGGGCAGCAGAGTTCCATAGAAAAGATTGCCATTGCTTAACCCTGAATGCCTTCTCTATCGGCATCTTTCTGCTGGCTGTGGATGATGGTTCCGAATCTCAGTAACCTATGTTTATCTTCCCACTTTCTGGAAGGGGGCTAAGGATTCCACATCCCTTCTTTTTCCACCGTTAAAGCCTCACTAACCCAGTATTTCTCAACCTTGGGCCCCTTATAGATGGATGGACTTCAACACCCAGAATTCTGCTGGGGGGGGGGAGATTTATTCTGGGAGTTAAAGTCCACCCATCTTCAGGGGGGCAACTTGAGAAACACCTTTATTTTGTCAGGGATGATGACATCAACCCAGATGCTACTGCTTGTCGTCCACAAATTATGATCAAACCCATGAACCGAAGAAAACCGATTTGGACGTCTTTTTGTACTAGGTGTGTTGAATGTTTCGGGTCTCCCAAACTTATCCCGAATCACACAAAACACTTGGACCGACGACGTAAAACGTGCAGATGTGATACACCGAAGCGTACCCCAACTTCGTTTGATCCTACTTTAGTTTCCTCCGAATCACGGTAGACAGAAGAAAGAGAGATTCTCGTCCTTCCTTCCTTCCTTCCTACCCTCTCTCCCTCCATTTTCTTTCTTTCCTCCCTCCCTCCTTCACCCTTCTAAAAAGGAAAGGAAAGGAAAGGAAAGGAAAGGAAAGGAAAGGAAAGGAAAGGAAAGGAAAGGAAAGGAAAGAAAAAAGCTTTGGAGCCTAGTGAATTTCAAGATGGGGAGGGAAGAGAAAAGCAAGGGGCCATTTCTGAATTTCCTTCCCTCCCATCATGAAAAGGCCCATTACAGGGTTTTTGTAAGCCCTGGGATTTAACTCTCAGTGTATTTTGCAAACCTAACCACTGAGCATCCTCCCTCCTGGGTAGGATCTCCCCCTCAACCCAAAGTTATCCATCTGAACCCCAGGAAACTTCCTTCATTTTATCCCGTTATCTTCATCCCCTCCCACTTACATGATAAAATGAGAACACCTTCCTAACCGTGACCACGGAGACTGAAATATTGGTAGAGATGGGCAACTATTTGAGGGTCTCCTTCTCCCCTCTTCCTTTTCCCTAAATTGCTGGCCTCCACCGGGCTTATTGGCTAGCCTGGCTGGGCTCCTGCTCAGCATTATTACAGACCTGGGAAGCTGCTGCTGCTGCACAGTCAGTGATTAATGACAGCATTAATCATCTTACCAGTTCCTGCCTGCCATATTTCAATTAAATTGTAAACTTGTGCTGGAGATCAGTCATTAACTTTCCAGGCGTGAGAAATGGTTCTTCGGGCCCGTTCAGAACATCCCGTCACAGCTGCGTAATGAAAATATGACTTTTTTTTCCCCTCCCTGAACAAAATATTGCAAAGGGGGTTAGCATCCCTGGGGCTGTTCCAGTGGGATTTTTTTTTCCTCTGAAAGAGCCATTTGCCGTTTAAAAATACGAATTAAAGCCGGAATGCTTTGTCTGAGATCACCTTTTTTTTCAAACTTGGTGACTTTAAGATGGTTGGACTTCAAACTGTGGTGCTGGAGAAGACTCCTTGGACTGCGGGGAGATCCAATCGGTCAACCGTAAAGGAAACCAACAGGACAGATGCTGAAGCTGAAATCCTTTGGCCGCCAAATGAGAAGAGAGGAACTCTTTGGAGAAGACGCGGATGTTGGAGAAGGCGGAAGGCAACAGGAGAAGGGGACGGCGAAGGATGAGATGGTTAGACAGTGTCATCAACACAACGAACACGATTCTGGACAAACTCTGGGAGACGGTGGAGGACGGCTGACTAAATAACAACAACAGACTTCAGTTCCCAGAATTTCTTAGCCAGCATGGGTGGATTTCAACTCCGAGAATGAAAACCAAAAAGGGTTGGATGGACTGCAATACCCTTTGCCTGGGTTTACACAAGACACCGATCCAGTACACAAGGGGTAGGTTGGGACAGAGTCCTTGTGTATGGAAGTGGCTAGGGTGGAGGGGCTTGCAAGAAAACAAGCTCAGAGAGCACCAAGGACCCCTCATTTCAAGCCTGAGCTACAAATATTCTCCTTTCTTAATGGCTAAGGTTGTGCTAGAAGAAAATGCTCACTCCATAACTGGGGGGGGGGGGAGAAAAAAACTCTTTTCAAGTTGGATGTTAAATACAGAGTGGAATCAAATGCATTTTTTCTCCATTTCTTTGTCTCCTTATCCATGAGGTCTGGAAACTTGATCCCTTGAAACCAACGTGGGTCCTCCTGCTTTCTGCTCCTGAGGCTTGCTCTGATGCAGGAAGGATAGCCAGGGTGCTACAACAGAAACCCTTACAGGGATCAAAGGTTGCTCTGCAGATTTTGGAAGTCAAAAGCCTTCTGCAAAGGCCTCAAGATCTCTCCCTTTCCACGTATAAATCCACCCTCCATCCCGTTTTGACTGACTATCCGGGATTGCATGGGCTCCTATCCTCCACGGCGGATGCCATTTGCGCTGACTTTCTCTCAATCCCTCTCTTCCCCGGTTTGACTTCTAGATTAAAAATAGGTTTATGTCATTTTTATTTAATCAAAGGGTTCATTAAAAGAGAATCAAAGCATGGAAGAACACACACACAAAAAAAAAATCTCTAGAGGAAGAAAGTATGAAATCGTGGCTAGATACATCAGTCA